CTTTCATGGCTTACGTCGCCTCGTGTGATGTTCTTGATGGTGCTGAGCAAGACTAGGCGAGTGGTTAGGCTTCTGTTCCCTGGCCGTCGGTGAAGCGGTACACTCACGATCACGCTGCTCCTGGATGATGGAAGGGCCGCCCATGGTAGCTTGCCTCGAACCTCGTGCGTCACGAGAGCCCCGTGGAGGGAAATGGTAAGGTAGGCTGCGAAGCTCTGATGCTTTGTCGCTGTAGCGAGTGTACGGAAGGAAGCAAGGTAGCGTCGGAGGGGCGAGAGCGAGAGGTGGTGGGTAGCAGGCCAGCGAGCGTGGTGGAATGGAGGATCCCGTTACCTCTAGAGGGCGTCACCACTGTGAAAGCTCCAGTGGGAGTTTGGGTTCCAGGTCCAAGCAGTCCGGTTCTGGCACGGGTTCCATGTTGGGTCGGGTTTGGCTGGCGGGGTTTCAACACTGGGCGGGCGGGAGCAGCGTGAGAGCTGTGCGGGTCGCAGCCGTGGTGGGGCACATCTATGCTGTGTGCCCCACCGACCCCTCGATATGCGGCTAAGGGGTATTGAATTTGGGCGATACGGGAGGCGCCCCGAGCACAGCATGCAGACACCTGAAGCACAGCATGCAGACACCTGGAGCACAGCATGCAGACACCTGGAGCACAGCATGCAGCCACCTGAAGCACAGCAGTGTAGGCAGGCAACTGACGCAAGGGCATTGAAAGTCCACTGCCTCAACCTGGCCCTAGATATCTCTGCACATCCTCGCTGCCGTAAAACATCTCCCTGAGCTTCTCCCCCTTCTTCTTGTCTGCCTCGGCCTTTTGCCTGCTCTTCTTGGCGTCCAGCGTCACAGGCTTCTTCTTCTCCACCCTGCCTTGGAAGTCTTTCGGCACGGCGAGACCGAGCCCGAGCTTGTCATCCTTGGGCTTTGTCTTCAGGGGGTACTGTATACCCTGGCCTTCGCTGCCCAAGCCTTTCCGGGCGTCTGGGTCCCAGCCATGTGACGACAGATAGGTGAGGCCCATCCTCGCCCTGTCGAGAGCAGACGGTGGATGTGAGTGTGCGACGCAGACCTGGTGGGCGATGGATGCCTCATGTTTCCGTCTGCGTCTGGCGGTAGCAGTTTTGCCGTCTGCCGCCTCATCCAGTGCCTCGGTTGTCTCGTCTTCTACCAGCGGTGCATGACACACGGCACAGTTTGCTGGTTGTGGCGCCCATGTCGTCTGCGGCTTCTTCTCATCAGGCAGTACGAGGCTCATGTACAGGTTACTGATGGAGGCACCCGAATTCTCTGGCCTCGTGTCCTGTATCGTCGACAGGTCTGCGTCAGACGCCTTGACAAACTCGATGCGTTGTCGCCTGATGCCAGAGCCGAACGGCTTCTTCTGGTGTAGGGGCACCTCATACTCGTCGTCGTCGTCGTATTGCTCCTCGTCTTCTGGCTCCCTGACAGCCGCGTTCATCTCGGACCTGGTCCTGACGGTCGATGTAGCCTGGCAGCCAGGCACGCGACGCAACAAGCGGTGATGGATGAGATTGAGAGCGAGAGGGCGAGAGGGCGAGAGGGCGATGATGTTGAGTCTGAGTTGGCCAGCCTTCCTGCTGGTGGCATACACGTACCTACTGGCAAGCTACCTTAGGTCCATCGGTAGGCAGTTAGCGCTGAACGTTAGCAGGCTGCACCTGCAAGAACCATCCAGCAGCCTCGCCCCACCATGCCGCCTTCCGCCCCCCCCCCCCCCCCTCCCCCTGCCCCTGACTCCCCTGAATGAATTCATTCGACTGCCGACCTTGGGCTTCCCCCCCCATGCCCCCCACATCCTCAAAAAACCCACCGACATCCCCCTCCCTTTTCGCCATGAAACCGCAAATCCCGCGCGGCCAGGCCCTACCGATCAAACTATGGGGATCGATCTCGTCTTCCACTTCCTCCGCGAAGGCCCACCCACCTGGGTCCGCGACAACATCTGGCTCATCCTCAAGACGGCCGCCACCCTCTTCGCCCTCTTCCTCGTCAAGCTGTGGTCCAATGGCGCCAGCAACACCTCCGAGCTCAAGATGCACGGCCGCGTCGTCATGGTCACGGGCGGAACCTCAGGCATAGGAGCCGCCACCGTCCTCGACCTCGCCAAGCGCGGCGCCCAGGTCGTCCTCCTCACCCACGCCCCCGTCTCCGACCCCTTCCTCGTCGAGTACATCAACGACGTGCGCGAGCAGACCAAGAACCACATGGTCTACGCCGAACAGGTCGACCTCTCCTCGCTCCACAGCATCCGCCAGTTCGCCACCAAATGGATCGACAACGCGCCGCCGCGCCGCCTCGACATGATCCTCCTGTGCGCCGCCACCTTTACGCCCGCCGGCCAACCCCGCCAGGTGACCGACGAAGGCATCGAGCAGACGTGGATGGTCAACTACCTCGCCAACTTTCACCTGCTCGGCATCCTGAGCCCGGCCCTCCGCGCCCAGCCCTTCGACCGCGACGTCCGCGTCGTCTTCGTCACGTGCCCCTCCTACATCGGCTCGCCGCCGCTGTCCGCGCCGCTCGACGACAAGACCTGGACCACGGGCGCCGCCTACAAGCGGAGCAAGCTGGCGCTGACGACCTTCGGCCTCGCCTTCCAGAAGCACCTCGACGCCTACAAGCGGCCCGACGGCCTGCCCATGAACGCGCGCGTCCTCTTTGTCGACCCCGGCCTCACGCGCACGCCCGGCATGCGCCGCTGGCTCACGCGCGGCACCCTCTGGGGCCTCTTCGTCTACCTCGCCACCTACCTCCTGCCGTGGCTGCTCCTCAAGAGCCCCGAGCAGGGCGCCCAGTCCATCCTGCACGCCGTCATGGAGGCCGGCATGCGTCGTGGCCCCGGCGGCAAGCTGATCAAGGAGTGTCGGGAGGTGGACTTTGCCCGGAAGGACGTGCATGACGAGGCGGCGGCCAAGCAGCTCTGGGAAGAGAGCGACAAGCTGATCGAAAAGGCGGAGAAGGACGCCGCCATTGTGAGGGCGAGGAACAAGAAGCAGGCGGAGGACAAGGGCAAGAGGGAGGAGGAGGTGGAGAAGGAGAAGGAGATTGAAGAGCTCGTCAACAGCATCAAGAAGGGAAAGGAGGCGCAAAAGGCCAAAAAGGCGAAGAGCGGCGCCGAGGAGAAGCCCAAGGGCAAGAAGAAGTCTAAAAAGGCCGACAGCTGATCGGCTCAGCAGAGTGCCATCGGCATGATTAGGTATGTACGCAATAGATGAATCCATGGTAGGTTTAGGAACTGGTGTCTTTTCTGCAATGGCTTACGCAAGATGCATAGATATTGGACAGATGGCGGGAGTACTTTGTACAAAGAATATCACCCTACGTTATTCCAACTCGTTCAAATCATACTGAGAGGCGAAAAATCGGATGCGCCGGTTCGCCGTCTCGCGTCGTCTCCCAGATTCAGCGTCAACTCCCTGCAGTCAACATGCCCGTCCCCTCATGACAATCAATGTACTCAAAACGTTGCTGCTCCGGCTCCAGCACCAACACCTCGTGGAACAGCCGCAGGCTCATACTATCCCCAAGCTTTTTGGCATATTTGGAAAACCCGGCAAATATCTCGAGATGGGTGCGGTGCTCTTTGCTCCATTTCTCAAGCGATGCTAGGCTGTCAAAGTACGCCAGCCCAAAGGTCTGATCCGTGCCGCCCTTCTGCGTCACGGGGTCGACAATCTCCATGAACCGACAGCTGAAGCACCCGACTTGGTCGCCTTGGTCGCGGAGAAAGTCCATCCCCTTGATCAGCACGGGGTGCATCGTGTTCAGATACAGTTGCCGCTCTTCAGGCGCAGCGACGGACCAGTCCTGTCCGGAGCGGATGACGACGAGGTTCTTCTTCCCCGGCACAACGCGACGTCCGGTGGCAGAGGACGGGGCGGACGTCTCGTTTCGTGGGTGGATGTTGCTGGTCTCGCCGACGAGGGCATCTCTCTGTGAAATGGGGAACCGATCGCGCAAGGCTGCCCCAGTAGACGTGCTCCTGGATCGGGCCGCTCATCGTCTCGCGCAGGTTCGCTGCCCCTTGCGGGACCTCTGTCGTGATGACGGTTTCGAAACGGTCAATGGTCGGGTAGAAGACTTCCAGGAACCAGCCATGCTGATGGCTGCCTGGTGTGAACCCATCCCACCACTAGTCGAAGCCGCTTGTGGTGAGCCACTCGTCGTGGTTTGCCTTGCTCTTCCAGTAGAGCAAGACGGCAATGTTGGAGTGTCCCTGGTTATCCATAACCGCGGCGACTTTGTGCAAGCCGGGTCGAGAACTCGAACTGCTCAGGTTGATGAACGATGAAATGGTCTTGATGGCGTTCCCATCGTTTAGCGATGCCGATGGGTATTGTGCACCCACAACAGCCAGAACGAGGTCCTTGGTGTTCCTGGGAAACCGGGAGGTGTAGAGTTCAAAAGGAGGGTCAAAGTTGGTTGGCATGTTCGGGGGAATCGTACGTTCCCTCACGAGCCATTCTGGAATCGCAGATTCGACCTTCATGTTGAGTGCCAGTCAAGGATATTCATCTGAAATCGAGCCCTGCCGCGTGGTTTCATACACGTAATGAAGGTCCTTACTACCATATGTACTTGTCCCTCGCCACACCCCTGACGCACGACTTGACAGCCATGATCACAGCAAACGAGCAGCGTCAAATACGCCAGTGTCGCGCCGACTTGTTGAAAGTGCCGATGCGACGTCACGGATATCTTTGGCTCGATTGAGTCAAGCTCGAATCGGGAAACGCACCATCGTTGATCAGGGTAGTGCTCACCCGGACCTAACCCTTAGGCTGGGACGCCGTCCCCCGCAATCCTGGGGTGCAGATCATGGGGTCGGATAGGGTAGTCAATACCCGGCACATCATCAGTGTTGCATGACCGATAGGCGATGAGACCTCTACCGCTCGACTCTGGGCTATCATCCAGTATCAAACCGACCCGGCGGTCCGGCGTCTCAAGACAGGCCCACAGGAGTTGAGAGAGGGTTCATCAGAGGATAGGGTATTTCCATTCCGGGTGTGCCTGATGCCAAGGGCAGGGTAATGCTAAGCCGAAGATGCGACAAACAGCAATGGGAGAGTCAAAGCAATGTTCTGAAGAAATTCGTGGTCCTTTTGTGATTTCGCAAAGTAGAAAAGAACAGCCTTCCGCTGTCAGTCCCAACTGAAAATTTCATAACTAGCCATCATAAACATCAGATCCCAAACTCACAACATCAAACCCTCGTTCTCCCAGCACAATGGCGCCCAAGCTCAAGATTGCCGCTATCCAGGCCGAGCCTGCGTGGAACGACCTCGAAGGTGCGTGAACAAGTCCATCGCACTTATCCAAGAGGCGGCCCAACAGGGTGCCAATGTCATTGGCTTCCCCGAAGTCTTCATTCCCGGTTACCCTTGGTGAGTCCAAACAATGCATCACTATGGCCTCTAGGCATTTCGTTGAGCTTGTCTGGCGTGTCATGGGGAAGGAGCATCTGGGCTCAGTCTCCCACGGACAATGCTGCGTTCATGGATGAGTACTTGCACAACTCTCTCGTCAAGGACTCGGACGAGATGAGGCGCATCTGTGCTGCGGTCAAAGAAGCCGGCGCATTCGTCGTGCTCGGATACAGCGAGCGCTTCAAGAGCACGCTTTACATTGCCCAGGTATGCTACAGCTGATGCATGCAAATGGTGCTAGAAGAGGCCCAGAAGCTTACCGTTGTATCCAGTCCTTCATCGATGAGAACGGCGTCATCGTTCACCACCGCCGCAAGATTAAGCCCACTCACGTCGAGCGTGCCTACTGGGGCGATGGGCAAGGCGAGTCGCTTCAAACAGTCGCGCCCAGCACTGCCTTCCCCGACGTCAACATTGGTGGCCTCAACTGCTGGGAGCACACCCAGACTCTCTTGCGGTACTACGAGTATGAGCAGAATGTCGATCTGCACGTGTCCAGCTGGCCACCGATTTGGCCGCAGCCCCTTCTGCCGAACGGCGAGCAGAGTCCCGACTGGCCGGCTCACATCACGGACGAGATGTGTCTGCGGTTCTCACAGATTGTCGCCCTCGAGGGCACCTGCTTCGTCATGGTGAGCACGCAGATTGTCCGTGAGGAATCAAAGAAGCGCTGCCGGATCGACAAGTTCGACTACGCCAGCGCCGTCCAGCAGGGCGACGGCGGCGGCTTCGGCATGATCTACTCACCTTGGGGCCAGGAGCTTGCGAAGCGTCTGCCGCCTGGCGAGGAGGGCATCCTGTACGCCGATGTTGATCTCGCGGAAAAGACCAAGGCGAAGCAGAACCTGGATATCGTGGGGCACTACTGCCGGCCTGATCAGTCGAGCCTCCGTGTCAACAGGTACCCCGCCAGGCCCGTTCACTACGCGGCTGACCCTTGAGGACCTGAAGCCGGTCCGGGCGGGCCTGTCATGTTCGCTCGAGTGAGGGGTGGTGCTGATCAGAATACCAACCCCAAGCTTTCCAGGGACAAGCCTAGTTAGTCCAGGGTCTTGAGAAGCGGATCGGCCGATTGGCCTCGTCCTGATTGCCCCTCAACGGTGCCGTCAAACCTAGCCTAGTACAATAATCCAACCCACATTAGTGTCTCTTGATGCGCCATCAGTATAACATGACGGGTCCCTGCGGCGGGTTCAACTGTGCGGAGTAGTGATTGATTCCTCGCGCTCTCAACACCATGTTCGTTCATCGTATGCTTCACATATGGTTGTTGAGTTGACCCTCATGACCCGATGGCGAGGGCTCCAGCTTCCTCCCAGCTAAGCGACGAGAAAAAAAAGGCAACGGGTTTCGCTCGCATGCCTCACTTGCCGAAGCAAGCACATTCGAGTAAGGCGCCAGCAGCCAGAGCGACCCAGGATACCTTCAAGTACCTGGTAAAGGTCTTTTACAAACCGCAGCGTGGATGAAGTGCGATGGTGTACAGCCAGTCTGCGGCTTCTGTCAGCGAATTAGTGCTGAGTGTAATTTTGCGCACGAGGAAAACAAGCGCAGGTCCGTGTAGCTCCGGGGATCGTATTCTTCATCCAGTGTGCTGACAGGTTCATGTTCAACCCATCTTCCAGACCCCCGAGCAAGAAATTTGTTGAATCGCTGCAAGCGAGGATACGTCACCTCGAAGAGCAGCTAGCAGCAGCCGAGTCTCGAGCAGTTGTCGAGATTCCATCTTGTGACACTATCAACGACAGCACAGACGTCCAGTCGGATCCCACTGCGCCCAACGAAGATGGAGAGGACCCCCTTTCCAATCTCACTGCCCTAGTGGGACGCCTCAACGTCGCAGACGACGGCCAACTCCATTACTTCGGGTCACAAAGCTCGTACAATCTCCTCAAAAGCATGCCGTGATGTGGCCTCTCTGGAGCCGTCTTTGAAAATGCAAAGACAGGGCTTGGCCGCCGCTGCGCAGCTCGACAAACTCGTCGCCATCCCCGTTGAGCTTCAGCAGCACCTCCTGGAGCTCTACTGGCAGTGGCAAAATCCTTGGAACTACGTAATCCACAAGGGCGCCTTCATGAAGAGCTTTCGAGGTGAGGATGACGGCCGACACTGTTCTCCTCTTCTGCTGTCCTCCATCTTCGCTATTGACGCTAGGTACTCGGATCAAGTCGAACTGCGTTCGAGACCGGATGATCCAAGCATGGCTGGTGACGCCTTTTGTGACCAAGCCAAGATTCTGCTCCTTTATGAAAGTGAGGCGCCCACTATCACTAAGGTCCAGGCCGCGTGCATCTTGGCTCTCCGCATCATGTCGGATGGCAAGGAAGCCCTCGGCTGGCTATATGCAGGTATGTTGTGCGAGTGACTTATATAGCACGGCGGAAAGTCGATCACAAGGACTGATAATATGCAAAAGGCAATGCTACGAGGATGGCCCATAATCTTGGCCTCCATGTTGATCTCTCCGATTGGACCTCCACAACGGCCATGGCCCCAGAAGATGTCGAGGCGACAAATTCACATGGTGGGGATGCTATGTGGTGGACAAGTGAGGCTGCTCTCCTTCGGCTCTATTTCTTGAGTGTTTTCGCTGATCATCCAGACTCTTCGCCCTCGGTCTTGGACGCCCTAGCAGTACCCCCAAAATGAGCATCACCTGTTCCAAGCTCAGGACTGACGGTGACGAAGAATACACACCCTGGGTGCCTCCATTTACTTCGTCCGCTGGTCTTTTATCCTTGGGTGTTCACTCTTGCATTCCGTCAAATGCTTCTCATCTCTCGGACACCATGACGATTGCCTGCGAGGCAATGGACGCCATGTACGAGCCACGCTCAAACGCACGCTTGCATGTCTGACGTGTTCCAGTTATGCTCCCAATAGCAAGCTTTCGTCCCAGGAAATGGAGGCCATCGTTACGAAGGCAGACGTGGAGTTGAGGTCACATTACGGAGCGTTGCCCACTTACCTCCGGCTGACTGCTTCAACGCAAACGCCCATGCTGCCTCACGTTTGTCTTTATCAGTGAGTCCACCAGATGCTGTCTATTTGTTTCGGCAACAATTGGAACGAGCTCGTTGTGGTAAGGCAAGATTGCTGACGGGCATGCGCAGCGTGCAGTATCATGCACACCTAATCCTCCTCCACAGGCCTCTTATGCAAGGACGAAACAAAAATGTACGAAGGGCTAGTGACAATACTGTAGACCATGAGCCCGCCACCAGCAGTCACGGGGGCGAAGACAACGAGCATTCAGCAGTGTGTAGACATTCTGCGACAGAAATCACGAGACTGCTTCGACAATACAAGCAGCATTATACTCTGGTATGTCATCTGCACCAGCCATGGCACCCCATGAATAAGGCGGACCCTCGATGAGACTGACACGCTTTGGAGTGCCGCATTCCCATCGCAGCCGTTCATCTATGTTTCTCCGCTGCTGTGATCCACCTCATCGATGCTCGGCCGTCGAGCCCAGCAAGACAACAGGCAATCAGACACCTGCAGACATGTGTCGATGCCCTTGAAGATCTTCGGGTTCCATGGTGTATGTGGAGCGGCCGCGCAATCCGGGCCATACAGTTGCTGGCCGCTGAATGGTATCACTGCGAGGACTTGACCCAGTTGCAGTCGTGCACCGAGTCCCCCAATGCAAACACTAATGGGCACAGTGTACTTACGATAGATGACGCATCAAGAAGGGGGCCTGGGCTCGGGATGCCTCCAGAGTTGACGGGCCCAGAGAGCAGCGCCAGCCTGGTCGAGACGCCTTTTACTTACGATGCTTGCACCTCGGATCCATTTACAGATGGTCTCGTGAGGGAATGGCTGGCCGAAATAGGTTACGAAATTTGAAACGTGCAATGTGCAGATACCAAATGTATGAAAGATTATTTATTGAACCTGAGACGCAGGCCTCAATAGG